CCCAAAGAGCAAGCAGAATCCTCAAACTTCAATCTCTAAAGATGATGTCCACCGCGATGTTGTGAGAAAGCCCCTGAACAAAGAAGGCAAGGAATTCAGGACCAAAGGGTTCAAGACTCCCACGTGTCTTGCAACACACATGCACGCGATCACCCTGGAGCAACGGTGCACCAAGGAAAACAAGGGGACCCTGCCAAACATGCCCAGCTTTGAGCTAAGAGTCTGACGGGGGCCAAAGAGAAATGTCAGGAGCAGATTGCCAAGAGTCAAGGCTGTTCCTTCTGAGAGCTTCTACCTCTGAGTCAGAGGCCAGTCAAAAATAAAATACATTTCTAAGAGTCTCAAATTAATCAGCTCATCTATGAAAAAAAAGATTTCAATGGGTCATAATTGATTGGCTGGCAGTGAGATAGACAAGGGCATTACAATGAATTATAAATAGGAGGGTTTTCAGGCTGGAAGGGAAATACGTCAGCTCTTTGGAGGGTGACAGAACCTGCAGTGTAGTTGCCTTCCGACAGCCTTAGGGGACCCAGTCAGGAAGCTCAGATTTATTGACCACCAGCTGTTTGTTAAGTGCTGTGGGGCATACACGCCCTGCTTAGAGATAGGATGGAAACGTGAAGACGGCTCTTCCCCAACCCTCTTCTCTCTAAGGCAGGATTGCCAGGGCACGAAGCCTAAAGGATCCTGTTATGGGGTCAATGGGCTCGGGGAGATCCTGCTGAGGCCAGAGGGCTCCCCATCAAGCAGTGGGCAGAGTCTCCTGCCAGCCTCCCACTGCCTGTGAGGGCCGGACCCTTGAGTGAGCGTGGCAGGAAGATATGATAGCAGCTAATAACAGACCTATTTTTTTTTTGACAGGCAGGCACCGTTTGCTTTCTTCACCACACTTTGCTGTAACACCCATAACTTCAGCAATCTCTCCATAAGGATGAGCCTCTGAGCAGGGCCATGTCATAAGAACTAATTGTTCTTAGACTGGGGCTAGAATCAAGTACTTGGCACTTGCTCTTAAATGTAGGTGTTAAAGCAACAGAAACAAATCAGACGAAAGTACTAAACAAAAGATTGTAAAGGGTGGCTCAGAAAGACAAAGTAAAGTAGTATCGTGAAATTTGCAAAGACTTGGGAGTTAGAAAGCATGTTTGACATGTTGCATACTTCATGAGACACAAGTAAACATCTTTCTGGTATTCCCGGCTTTGAGCTAAGATTCATCTGGCATCTGCAATAATATCCTGTGTTCCCCTTTAGCTTCCTCACTAATGCTTCCCACAGTTGTCAAGTACAGATGAAATTTCTTTTGACATATCTATCATGCCTGCAGGCTCTACCCTTTCCGATCTTTACCCATGGGGTCGCGTATTTCACTTCCAGACCTGGAAGTTCTGATGTATAGTTATCTGTGACAATTTATCAGATTAAAATAATCAGATACATTTGACTTATGTAAACATCAACTTTTACTCATCAACTTTACACAGAAGCCCAATTTATGCAATCTTGTCAACTCTGCTGTCTCAAAGAACCTGAAACATTCAATATTTTAAATTCCTTTTGGGAAAGACTATATACACATCAGTACACATCAGTCATCAGAGAGTCCTACTTGCTGTATTAGATCACCATTATCTAAGACTGTAATTTCCCTTGTGCCTCTTGGAAAAGGAAAACCTAATTTATCTGGAAAACACACAGATGCTTTTCTTTAATGTGCCATTTACTTTAACAGCAAAAACCAAACAAATAAAACTATTATAGCCATCATCAACATTCAGATCAATCAGAAAAGTAGTGAGTTTTGTTAGCGGATTTTGATCACTATGTGTTTAACCTGTTCTGATGGCCTGTGATGATACAATATATGCTGTATTACCAAAGACAGTCAAGGAAAAACAATAACCACGCCAGTCGAATTTACATAAAAGCATTCAATACACCTTGTCAAAAGACCGATCTCATTGGTGAATCATATTTTCATCGCAAACCAATGAGACTCTCCCACCTACCCTCACCTCAGCCTCCTAATTCATTCCTGAATAATTCATATTCTAACAAAGCATTTCAAATATAAGTCCCTCAAGATCAAATGTAATTGAGAAGCCAATTACATTTTAAAATCCTTAAAATGTGTACTAAAAATTTTAAAAGAAGGCACCCAGATTCAGCTCACCATTAACCCCTATAAGAATCTTATACTTCTTACAGACAACAAATGGATACGGACCCCCAATAACTCCCTCTGCTCCAACAAGAGCATCCTTCTCAGAGGATGGGGATCATTGAACCAGAGAGTAACTGGTATTCCAGTTTAGTTGAAACTTACTTCAAACACCAATGCTGTTTTAAGTTATGGGATGAATACATCTATCCTTAATGGACCATTAAAAGAACAGAGTGCTCAGGAGCTTTCTGCTTTTCATTCAGATTTAAACACCTTATCCTTTTCTGTTAGTAAAAAAATCTTCTAGAATGTGAACTGCTCCTAAAAGCAGAGGAAACACAGAAATGTCTACTCACACTGAGCAGTTTTATGAGAGCTAAGGCACATGAATGCTATTTGACTTAAGAAAACCTCCCATGCATAGGATGTTCTTAACAGCAATATCATAGGGGGTGGGAGTGGGGGAGCGAACCTCAACACTACCATTCTACCAATATACCTAATGCTTAAGTGGTGCCAGCCTCCACTTTGGTCAAGTAACATTTGGAAAATCAAGTTGTCCAGACAGAAAACCTCCTAAGTAGATTTTTTTTGAGGTTGTGCCAGTCACATAATTTCATGTCAACTTGGTAAGTGTCAGGGTGGAGTCTAGCCTGAAAATCAGGTCACAGACCAATGATGTCTACTTGTGGGCCAGGCCTTCCCATGAGGATGCTGGGAACTTCTCTCCCTGGAGGCAGGCAAT